CATCGAAGAGGTGTTACTTTCAACAAAATCCCCGGACCACCCCCCCCCCCCTTAAACAGGAGAGGGACATGCCCTGAAGGAGGAAAAATCCTGATATTCTATGATAGAGATGTCCAAAATTGAGTGCTTTTAGATTGCAACTTTTCAACAATTCCACACAATGGGAGGGTGACACCCCCTCCAACCCCCCCCCCCCCCGGGCGCTTCGTGCCCCTCTATAAGTCACTTCTGGATCCGCCACTGGTTGTGTGTGTGGGAGGGGGTTGCGTGTTATTAAACCTCTGGGATTCAAAGAAAAAAATTACCCTAGAATTTACAAAATTGCACTTACAATATCAATTTTTTTCAATTTCCTCAAAAACGGCCATCTTGACGGTTCTAAATTGCTAAAATCCAAGAGCTTCCGGGGGCTCCGCCCCCTGGACCCCACCCATTAAGGGCTTTGCGCCAAGGTGCTCGCGGTTTCCGCCGCTCGCGCACTCTTCATATACATTAATTGTCATGGAAGTAACAGCAAAATCATCCCCCCCACAACTGAGGACCTGTCTACGCCACTGTACGTATACATATATATATCGAATATATACGGAATATCAAGAGCGTATTAAGAAGGTATTAAGAAGTATTAACCTTCTTAATACGCTCTTGGTAATATGTAATACAGCGCGACGTGATGCGTGTGTAGTCTGCGCTAGCGCCCGAGCACGCGCATGCGCGATGAGAATTTCGACCGCTGTCCGACGATGAGCGTCCTTCCTACCTCGTTAACCTCGGCGCGTTCCTCCAGTTCTCCCGTCCAGTCTTCCTCCTTATCCGGCATCATGCGAATCAGGTTGCGCACGCCGGCGAGATCCGTCTGTATTTCGGCGTCCCTCGAAGACGTGGACATCGTCGATTCTCTATCGTCGTCCGAATCTTGCCTGGACAGCACGAGAACGGTGGCGCCGCTGGCGACGGCTGCGGAAAAAAAGCGACGACAATAGCTTGTGCATCGGCGTGGCGTGTGATTGGTCGAATTTTGAATTGTGTAGGCCTACTTTAGGGAGTGGTGGGGGGAAGGAAAGCGATTCCTGGAGTTTGATCGAAAATTTTAGGGTAGGTATCACGTAAAAGTGGAGGGGCGCAAAAACAACCGTTTCCTTCGAAAAGAGAATTTTCGAGGCAGGATACTTTTAAACAGCACATTTTTAAGTAGGATACAATAGAATACACGTGAATACGCGGAATTCGTGGAAAGGACACAGAGGCAAACCAGATGGGCCAGCCACAGCAGCTTATCACTGCGGATATCATTTGACTTACAGAGGTACCACCGTACTTTCCCTCGGTGACGTGCCGAAATATGAGCCCTGGGCACACGGATTGTAAATCCCAAAAATTATCCCCAAAACGCGTCGCAAAGTGATCGTCACTCGCTGTACATGAACACTCACCCGCAGCTCTGACCACCGCCACCGCCGGCGCCCTCTCGTGGTCGGACTCCACACTAGAAGCGCGGGAGCGCGCTCTTTCATCTGTGGACGTTGAGAAATGCACGAACTGAGAGTGGTGCGCGAGCGCAAAATCCGCACTCACATGCCAACGAGCAAACACTAGGTGTAGAACGGAGTCTTTCATCTCGAGACAAAATATAGCCTCGCACATAACAGAGCTAATAATGCATCATATCAAGAACTAATAATACCTTGTATTATTACTTATTAGCTCTTTGCAGATATTATTAGCTCTTGATTATATGTATCGTTACACTTGCATTAATTCAGCTCAGCATCGCTCCAACATACACCAATCTCCCCTCCCCTCCCATCCCATCAAGCTACCGAGCCGAACATCCTCCAAGAACAAGAAGATCAAGTAGAAAGTAGAAAAATTACGCCTTCGCATTTACGAACAAGGAACGAGGATAAATTTCTTTTGGTGTGTCTCCCTTTTAACAGCCTTTGAGCATAGGATTAAGTAGAACGTTCTTTTAAAACGATGAGAAATTTCTTTCGGCTCACATTAATAGCATGCCTTCACATTTACGCACAAGGAAATGCTTTCAAGAAATTTCCTTTGACATGCCTACGGGAATCGACGTCACGGTCAAGTAGAAAGCTTTCTTTTGGCTCACATTAATAGCAAACCCTTCGAGCGTCGATCGCATACCTGAATCTGCGAGTTTCATATATTCATATATTGCGATATAGCAAAGACATTACAGAAACCTTTCGAGAAATTTCTTTTGGCATGCCTACCGGAATCTGCGTCCTCCTCCTCTGGATCCTTGAGTCGGATGCTGCCACCTCTCAGCGAGTCCCTCGCCGGATACACCCACGAGACCGGCTTCACCTCCTCCTCCTCCTCCTCCTCCTCCTCCTCCTCCTCCGGCGGCGGTGGCTGCTGCGGAGGTGGTTTCCTCAGCATCCAGTTGCTGTTGCTGACGGGCGAATCCAGGGCGAGGGTTTCGGACACGGCGACCTCAGCTAGCTGTCTGCAACGATGAGAGTTCGACGTTTGTCGTCATCGTTGATTGATCGCATTGTTTGATCGCGACGACGATGCATTTTGAACGTGCGATCGATTGTATTGCGTTATTGAAACTAGTATAGAAATATAACAAGTGCCGCAGAGCGACAGCGCTCACCTGACGGCAGGTGTTCTGATGCTAAACTCACTGGAAAACGAATCAAGAGCACCCTCCCATCGCCGCGTTCGCTCTCCCTCGTTGTCTCTCTCATTCTTTCTCTTTCGCTCTCTCGCTCTTGCTCTCTCTTCCCTTCGCGCTCTTTCTCTCCCTCTCTCTCTCGCTCGATCACACTCTCTCTCTCTCTCTCTCTCTTGCTCTCTCTTCCCTTCACGCTCTCTCTCTCCCTCTCTCTCTCGCTCGATCACACACTCTCTCTCTCTCTCTCTCTCTTGCTCTCTCTTCCCTTCACGCTCTCTCTCCCTCTCTCTCTCGCTCGCTCACACTCTCTCCCTCGTTGTCTCTCTCATTCTTTCTCTTTCGCTCTCTCGCTCTTGCTCTCTCTTCCCTTCGCGCTCTCTCTCTCCCTCTCTCTCTCGCTCGATCACACTCTCTCTCTCTCTCTCTCTCTTTCTCTCTCTCTCACACTCTCTCTCTCTCTCTCTCTCTCTCTCTCTCTCTCACTCTCTCTCTCTC